CCCACACTGATCTATGAGAAACAATTAAATTCCATACAAGAATATGTGGGAAAACATTTATTTCTGCGGCTCTTTGGACATTTGCAATTAAAAGATATTGCGATTGAATAAGCGTTTTTCACATTCGGGACTGCCCTTAAGGCCCGTATATTTCACGACAGATAAATAGTCGTTTATAAATAAAATGGTTGCTGCATCTGGCCGTTTTCTCACCTTGTCAGCAAAAATTCCTAAAAAGCTCCAGCGTTAATTATTTTATATCTCACTCGGTGTAATCGGTCTTAATAAAGGCAAGCTACCGGTTTATTGCTGGTTGCTCTTTCCTAGAGCAATTTGCATAAACGACGCGAAAAATTACCTTGTCTAGAGTAATTTAATATGGTCTGATAATGACGTACTATAAATTGTGGGTTTTATCTTAGAATTTTAATTTTTCACGTCTTTGTTTTGTATACTTAATTATTAATATTTTTTTATAATTCTTAGTAGGACCAATATTGGTTTTTTATTTGGTATTCATTCCTCTCTATACGGTCTTAGACAGTCAATTTCAAAATTGAGTAATTGAAATAGTGTGTGAATTTATTAGCTGATGGGTCGTCGTTTTGTTTTATGTCTTAATAATTTCCGATAGATTAAGTGCTCGACGAGCCATGCAGTGAGGTATAATTAGGAGTATTCAAAAACAGTAAACTACCGAAAAAAAAAGTTAATTAGTAAGATAAGTAGAGATAATGAAAAGGTTAAGTTATGCTTGACAGTGGCAAAACAAATCCGTTCTACCGATAATGATTAGCTTTTGTGTGAAATAGTTTTAATCTCCAACTGTCAATAGCAATTATTTCCAAAAGGCCTTATACAGTTAATCCTTTACTAAAAATTAAGCCTTATTGCCAATTACTTATTTGGACCCTTCACCTTTACAGGTAGCCTAATTTGAAGGAAAATATATACACAAAAAGCAATGTAATATTTTATATCGGTTAAATGTTCATTACTCACAACCGCTGGTTGATAAAATAACAAAGAACGAAGGCCACAGGATCGTTAAGGTTATCCATGGTCAATTACTCTATTGTTTATGAACCAGCCTGAGTTTACTTGTTTGTTTTAAATAATTTAATGGTTGATTATTTTGTATTGTTACACTTGTTTCTGATAAGAAATATAAATAAAAATACATTTTATAGCATCGAATATTTCACTCATGTATAAAATTTTCCATGAGAGAAGTGACAAATCGAAAAATTACAGCAGAAATTCAACGTTGTCTAGGCAAGGTGGAATTATCACCCATACAAGTCAATTGAACATTTTGACGACACAAAAAAAGTTAATGTTTGTATTGTAAATTAGAGACGGGAATCAATAGTAACCATTGAGACACAATTATTTGGTGTATTTGTCGAAAGCAAAAGCAATTGAAAAACAAAATGAATCGGGTTTGGTGAAGTGAAAGATGAGGAAATCGACGAAAGTATAGTGAAAGTTGAACAAAAAAACACAGTGAAATCTAAAACAGTATTTGGAGGCAGTTTATGTCATTTTGCGGCGAAAAAAGTACCCTTTTGATCAAGATACTCCAATATCCGAACTTGCATCTATCCTGAAAAGCTGGGCCTTTAATATGAGAAAAATGAACGGGGAAGAATATAAAGAGCATTACAGTAAAAGTTCTTTGAAATGTTATCGCAAAATTGCTCATTGAAAAGTATTCTAAAGACTTTAACAAATTTAAATTTAATTTTAATCCACAATTTTTATAAAATTCGTGAAATATTTTTCCTAAATACCATTCGTGCTTAAAAATTAACCGGATAATTTTCAAGCACTCCTTGTATTACCTCCGATAATCCACTATACATTTTTGTATACAGGGTGTATCAGGTATGACAAATATTTTAATATAGGATGATATGGCCCATTTTAAGCTAAAACTGTCCTATTTGGCATGGGTCAATTGTTAGTATTTCCGGAGTTATTGCAGAATTTAAATTTAAAAAAATGTTAACAACGTGACAACATTGTACAGATATTATCTCTAAGCCCAGTCTTCTTCAAGGCAACTAAACAACACAAGGGCAATGCAGAAGCTGCGGGTCCTCCAAGTAAACCTGCAGCACAATGAGGCGGCCACAAAATAACATGGAATAACTTTGGAACTAATCAGAAAATATAGAGATTCTGTATTCAGAGCTGTTCTCGGACGATTCATAAGCCTTCGAATCATAATAGAATAGTTCTTAATCCACTTTCCACTGCGCGGATAGTTCGGCGCAGTTCACTTTAGAACAATACACAATAAATTCAAACCCAAAATAAGTTCAAAAAAGTATAAGTCGTGTTTTCAGAATTGTTCCAAGTGATTCGAGAACCATCAAAAATGTGTTCCCGAGTAGGAAAAGTAATGAAACAGTCAACAATCAGAAACCTGATATAGTTGAAGAGATTTAAAAAATATCATTGCTGCAGAAGTTTCCAAATTTTCTTGTTACCTGATAATAGTATGGAAAATGCGTTAAAATGAGAATTTTTGACGTTAAGAATGTTGAAATATTGGATGATTATCCAATCCTAGAAAAAGCTAGGGAATGAGAAGCAAGTTTTATCAATTTTCAATTTCAACAACCTTTGAAGATAAACTTCTAAAAACTTCATATAATAATATCTCCAATTCCATCATGGATTTCAAGACTGTTTTTTTTTAAAAGATAATTCTCAAAGTCAAAAATTTAGTTAAATTCTGTTGTTTTTTTTTTAAGATAATTCCCCAAGTCAAAAATTTAGTAACTATGTTGGCAACACAAGCCTTTTCTATATTAATAATTTGAAAGCATTGACAATTTTACATTGTTATTGCCAACATAATATAATTTTGTCTTTTATCTTTATAAAACAACAGACTTTACTATGTTGACAACAGAAGCTTTTTCTACATAAAAAATTTGAAAGCATTAACAATTTTACATTGTATTGCCAACATGATGTCATTTTGACTTTTATCTTAAAAAAAAATACATAAAGTTTTTTTTTTTTTTTAAGATAAAAGTCAAAATGACATTATGTTGGCAAGACAATGTAAAATTGTCAATGCTTCAAATTTTTGTATGTAGGAAAGGCTTGTGTTGCCAATATAGTTACTAAATTTTATACTTGGGGAATTATCTTTGAAAAAAAAAAAACAGACTTTACTATATAATGAGAATTTTGAGAAAAAATATGACTGTTCTAGAACAAATTGTATGTTCAGAGCTGTGCTCAAACGATTCGAGAACAATGAAATCAGTTCCATATAGACTTGGAACAATAACAGAACAGGTCTAAAACCATCTAGAGTTACTCGATTATACATCTGTGCGCATTCTTTTTAACAAATGATTTACTTAGATAACCTCCTCTCACTTCATCTCAAAATAAGATTAGACGAACCGTAACTAAACATTCAAGAGAAAAATTAAATAATACGTACTTATTCAGCTACTTTCCAACCCCTTATTATGAAAATATTAATTTTTGTTCTCAAAACACTAAAATCAACACGCAGAATTTGCACACTCACACTTCCCGTATCACGCAATCTTTGTAAAACGGGCACAGTGTTCTTTCCTCAGGTGGGTGCCATTCTATTGGGAAATCTTTCCTTGTAAATTATTCTGGTGGCTAAATGAGTACCCATTTTGCAACGATTCTGCCTAAACAAGTATCTGCATATTCGATGTTTGTAAACAGCAAAAAAAGAATGAATTACACGCGTTTCCAATATTCTAACTAACATGACAAGACAAATCAAGAATCAATTAATCAGTTCAACTAAGGTTCAACCCTCAGACTAATAATAAAACTAGAGACCAAACATGTCATTTAAAAATCGCCCAATGTTTATAATCAATCATCTTTTAGCCCATGCCATAAGTAGGAGAGAGATAGACCCATAAAACGGCAACACTGTCCATTGGCGGCGTGTTTAGTTTCCTCTGAATTTTCACCAGAATTCAATAGGAGTTTTACTTACAATAAATTAGGTACTATAAATATCCTGATTTAGAAAATTAGAAGTACATTTGTGTATCATACAACAGTAACAACGGGATCCGACAACAACTTTACCGTCATCTTTAAGCAGTCATATCCGGTCCTAATTTCAAACAAACTACTAACAAACGTTTGCCAGTTCGAGACTTTTTTACCTTTGCTTGTGCCTATGGATTCCAATGAACTCACGTTTTTTCTCACCCATTGCCTCTTGAACCTTTTATTCTGACCAGCTAGATGGCAATGAAAAATAATGAACTCATAAATTAACATCGATTCATTATAATAGTGGATAAGCCAGAAATCCAGATGGATGGCAATCACCTACACCTACAGTAAGTTGGGCCCAGTCATTGGGGGAAGAAGATTTAAAAAAATTAGGTTTCCTGAGAGATAGTAGCTTAGAAAAAAAACGAACCGTTCCTGCCTGAAAATACTGATTTAAATGCAAGTACTGGCTAAGGAATCAGATATCTCAAATAGATCATCAATTAAAAATATTGTACTAGAATTCAATTTGACCAGAATTCGAACCGTTTATTGTAAAATCAAAGTTTTGTTGAAGGAAATGTCATGAAAGTCGAACGGAAATACTCTTTTTACTCCCAAGAACTGCCAAAACAGCAAAAGAGTCAAGTTACTTCGTGCCCATTGTCTACACCTGGGTGTCACTCGATCGAATCCGAAACCAAAATAATAATGTTGTGACTGTAGATGTAGGTACAAGAAAGATCGACAGTTCTTTCGGCGTTTCCGGTATAAAAAGAACTCATTGTTCCCTCCCAATTTAAACCAATAAGAGTAAGCACTGGCAGTTGTACAGGGCATCCTCCAGGTAAAAAGGACATTATTCAAGCTCCGTGGTGGGGCGTGCGAACGCATCTCTCTCTCTCGGGCTCTCGGAGCTTTCGCGTAAAGCTCGACTGAAGGGAAAATTCAGTCTCTCAGTTCAACGTACAACTTCAGTTTGTACGCAGCTTTGCTGTCGAAAGCACACGCGCGCACGTTCGGCGAATTTATTTAAAATACGAAAGCTTGTGCTTTGCTAAGGCCACTCGCACTGCCTGCCATTCCGGGTTGTTACATCGAGGATAAATTGAAAGTTTCTCTTTAACGCATTTGTCAGTCCGAGCCGGGATGTTCAGGAATTGTACAAGTTGTTCATTTTGTGACTCACGATTTATACAGTGTTGATTTGTTAGTGATTGGAACAAAAAAAAAATATCTGGATTCTTGAGGATTATGATTAAGTTTAACATTGTTCGACTGTGTTAAACTTTGGTGTTTAGTGTTATATTTTTTTTTTGGTGAGTACATTTTTGTACTTACACACCCTTTTATAAATTATAGTGTTACGAAAGATGGATTTTGGGGAACAAAAAGCTTTTATGGACAATCAAATCTTTGCTTATGATCCATCAGGGTGCTTCTTCAATCGTCAGTTTACATATCTTTGTCATGAGACAAAGATTTTGAATCTCATGAATGCTCATTCATTATTGAATCTAAGTTATTATTTTCATCTCAACTATCGATTGAAGAACTTGGACAAAAGATAATTACTAGTGATGCACTTAAGGCTACTTTGATGACTAGACAAAAAATTGGTGTCAAGACTTCAGGAGCTTTAAAGATGTTCTGCTCTTCAGAACTATTACAAAAATTAAGCTACATTTCGTAGGTATTTGGTTGATTTTTGCAAAACCAACAAAATTTCTGTGGAAACAAGAACTTTTTGATACATTGAGATGAGCTACAAATGGAGTTTTGAAACCAGAAGCATAATGAAATAAAAGTTTCAAGCGGCTCTTGAAATAAAGCTGAAGGACCACTTGTTAGAAACATGCTGTTGATGATTTCCAGAATGTCTTTCAAAAGATCTTTCGAACAAGGAATTGCATGTTATGAAATGTTTCTGACCATATTCCAGTTTTTCGGACATTGTTCATCAAATATACAATAAAAGTAATTGAGCTGTTTAAAAGTCATCTCGGTTACAAAGCTTTCAATGACATTATCCAACTTGCCCAATTTTGACCTCTGCTGTAATGTATAAAGACTAAGTACTTGATTTTAAATGCGATATTGCGAGATTTATTCACGACATTTGAAAATAAACAATGTGTCTATTACAGTGTTGAAAGATCCATTCTCATACGTGACTTCTAGTAAAATAAGAAGGATGATGTTATAACAACAATGAGTAGGGCCTAAGATCTAGATTTAGATTGACTTAGAGTTCAAACTTAGATTGCAAAGCTTTTAAGGCCACTTCGCAACTAACACAAGACTTTAACAACTCGACCTCAGCTATTAAGTGGAAAATTCACTGTTGGCTGAACTTTTGTATATTTTTCTCAAAAGTTCCGCAAATTGGAATGGAAATTTCAAATAGATTCAGCCAAGAACCAATGAAATTGGTAGTTATTTTTTAGTTTCATGGTAGGCATGTGGTGTTTTGTAGGAGATGTATTACTTAGTATTATTAAAATTACTTTTGGTGATAACTTTTCACTCTATAAGTAGCGGAAAGTGGTTATTTTTCCCAGTATGTTGCAAAATACAAATTAATAACAAAATTATCTACGACTAAGAGATTAATTATGATAATACTGTTCCACCTGCCGTTGATTTGAAAGAAGTCTTTGTTGCCAAATCGTTAATATCAAAAATGTCTGTTCTCATTGATTATCACGAAACCCACTCAATAGAATGCTCTATCTAGGCACGATTCTCTCCATGTTCTTTCAACCAAATCCAACAAATCAAAAAATCACCATCAATCCAATTCCCTCTTGCTAGCGAAATAATTCCAATCGATCAATCTCACCATCATAGCTCCGTGGCGTATAGTTTTTTCTAAAAACAACCTCTCCATCTATAAAGTTGAAATATTTTCCTCTGCTGAACTTGTGTTACGTCTTGTAAGAGATCGCGATGATAGATTTATACATTCATGAGATGTAATGGGCCGATGTCTATTTGAATCTCATACAAGAGGCCGCAAAGATGTTAACACTTGTGTCGGAAAAGATAAAATTCTTATTGAAGTTTTTGTTGGCTTGAGCAATTAAAGCAGAGACAAATAGTACATAGGTTTTTGATTTGAATATTCATCCTAATCAATCTTATTACCCATGTTTGGGTTTACACGTTTTCCTATATACCATGCTCAATCTTCATATTTCATTTGCCCATCAAGATTTCCGTGGGCAACAAAAGCGATTTGTCATTCCTCAGTGACCACCACCGTTAGTCGTAACGTGTTCTTTTTGACTAAGATAAGTATGATGGGCTTTGAACCTGATGATGCTCAGTTTGATCAATCAGGTAAAGTTTGATATACAAGGAGGAATTTGAAAGTGAAAAAAAAAAACTAATTTTATGGTAGAGTTACTCAATCAATCTTGAATCAATGAATGCTTGATATTTGGGTTGGTTAGGTTATACGCAAAAATTAGCTTTATGAGGAACATAAGGGGTTTTTTGATAATCAATTTCAAGTTACTTTATTAAAAATTCACTCCCAGGTTATTGAGAAATTTGATGTTTTTCGTTTTTAAAAAACATCACGTTACAATGTATAAAAGAAGAAGGTGACGTATTTGAAAACCTTGGTGAAAACATTTTTTGATGAAGAACTGGAATTGATTGAGATCAAGGACTGCTACTTTTCCAGATATTTTGTGCGTGCTTCTAGTTGTAGATCAATCAATAGGAAAAATAACCAAAAATCACGACACAATTTTTCCAAGAATTTGAAAGCAGGTTCTCAACATTCCAGGAAACATACCTAATATTGATGACATCTCCATTATCATCATGGTAACTTGATGACAACTCCAATAGAATGCCAGATGCATAATTTTGATCAGATATTATCTAGCCAATTAACAAATCCAATATTTTTTTTTATGCCCGAAGTTATCCGACACTTTTTATTTCTTAATTGAAATATGATATCTTCAACGTGAAGGCGTTAAACGTTCAACACCATGATAAAAATCAACCGAAACTCAAATTTAGAATGGATTTTATGGTGACATTTTCTCTTTGATTGATGACAGAGGGAAAAAAACTTGACCGACGTTGGCTGGCATCAAGAGCAGCTTTTTCTCTGTTCTAATGAAAAAACAATTAAAGATTTGGTCCGTTGAGAAACCCGGCTTCGACACAGTTCAATTTGTATTCAAGTGTGAAATAAATCTCTGTTTTTATTCTATTCCACGAGAAATCAATGTTTTAATTAAGACGAAATCTGTCGTGTTGATGTTGTAGATTCCCATGTTAAATTGTGTATTAAATGTGAAAAGTCAACAAGCTGTTTCAAGGGTTAAGTTCCTTTATGACGCTATAAGAAGAATTTATATCACACTCACAAATATTTAAGTTTTATTCTCACGTCATGAATACAGATTTAGGCGGCGCAACATGCGAAAGCTTTTAACATGTTGTTCTTCAGAGACATTTTTAAAATGATTAATGAACATTTTTACTTAAACTCGCGTATGATGAGTTGCTTGCTTTGTCTAGCCGCCGAGTGTCGACGCATTTTTGTCTTTCTTGCGTGTTCTACATCCGTTGAAAAGATGAAATCAATTTGGAATGACATTCGAACGTGATAGATGGGATTTGAGACTTTGTCTGTGAAATAAATTGATGACTGATGCTATATTTTACAGTGGGGGGTTTTTGTGAATCTCATCTTTATGTAAAATTAATTCTTATTGTCACCTTGGAATATTTACATTCTTCTTTAAATTCAATAGGCAACGTCCCTTCTTTGTACATGAAAAAAGTTTTCAAGTAAATTAATTAAAAATTCAGTACAAAACCGCCAGTAAATTTCAACTTTTCCAAAAAAAGTTCAGCCCTTCTCCCCAGGAAGTTGTTTTAAAGCAGAGCCTCGTCATTAGCTTTTAAGAATACTAATCTTTGTATGATGGGTTTTAGGGGTTATTTTTGAGAATTTATTACAGGAAGAATTCTAAGCTGGTTAATATCATTGTTATCTAACTAACCACTTAAATCAATAAACCTTTAAAATCGTTCACCTTAAAACAACGGCCGGCATTGTACTGAAGGCATAACTCGAAAGTCACGATTCGTGATGGTTACTCTCTGTGTTACGATGCTTCAAATTTCATTACCCGTCCTGTCATAAGACAATAAGGCCTTTATGGTACACGCCATTAGATCGAAAATGTTCATAGAAATCATATAATTTACCAGGGGCATTGGAGAATTATCCTAGGATTAGCATATTGTCAATTTTAGTTTTTCTCGCATTTGTTGAAATTTTCTGCTCTGGAGTATTCCTTTCTGTTAGCGAGCTAATTTTTTGAAAGGTGGTTTTGTCAAAGGCCCCTCCAATGTCAATGAGAGGGCGGACTCTCTGTTGTCCAGCGTTTTTCCACTCGCCCAGCAACCAGGTGGAGGGCTGTGTGTGATTTCCCGGGGGTATATGCATGTTGATAAGGGTGGACTGGATTAGTTGACAACACTTCATCCCTTATGTACCTTTCGAACTTCAAAACTTTCAATACATTTTCAGAGAAATTTGAACTTTGTCGCCTTATTATCTCGGAGACAGAAACAACCTGGAATATCAATAAGAAACAATTTTTTAGAGAATTTCATACATCTGTCAAAACTTTTATTCCAACAATAAATTGACATGTTTTGATTGTTGATTTGAACCAATCAGATTGTAATTACGCGATAATTTGCACTAGTGCAAATTATCAGATAATTGCATACTAACTGGTGCGAAAACTGGTGTTTTGACATTTTTTGACAAAAAATTTGAATTTTTGATTTATGAAATTCTCTCATTAAATACAACTCGTGCAATGGAAATATATTTATAATTTTCGACAAATTTGCACTCATGCGTTTTTAACTGAAAAAGGCACTCGTGCACTACGTGCACTCGTGCTCTTTTTCAACTAAAAATGCATTCGGGCAAATTTCCCAAAAATTATCAATAATTTCCATTGCTAGTTATATTACTATTGATAATTTATTGCTTTCTCAAAGGAAACGTGATTCGAGACAATCGGTTCGAAATTACCGAAGCGAAGTTATAAGCGAAAAAGTAGCGCCGTGTCGGGTCCCCAAAATTTTCCAGGATCAAAATCTTCCTTATTTTTTTCCGGGCTTACGAAGCGTCGGACCAAAAAACAGCAGAAGACATTTTCGACGTATTTTTGGCTCCTTTATCTGGTTGTATTTTTCATTTTTCAAAATTCGGAATAGTAAATGCAGGGCGTGTATGCAGCATTGCACGCCCTTTTCCAAAATTGGG